TCTTACCTAAGTCTGATATGAATATTACAACGTGCTATATTTGGACCATTGAGTACAGCCTTCACTTTGTATGAGATATGTGATATTTATACCCTACACCACATAGTGGTAAGGGTATTATGTTTTGGTGTATTTGTTTGTAACATGGAGAAGGAAGCGAGATAGACCCATAGTTACTTTTGAGGATCTTCATAAAACCACTTTCTGATTTGATTTATGCATTGAGCACCAAATGACCAATATCAAATGACCTCAATATTGGCACATCCGACCAATTCAGTCTAGAAGCAAAATCAAATTTGGTGAAAATCGGTCCAGATATAGCTACAGCTCCCATATACATGTTTCATCCGATTTCGGGTTAATTATGCACCAAATGGCCAATATCAAACCAAATTACCTGAATTTTGGCACATCAGACCGAATTTAGTCTAGAAGAAAGTAAATTAAATTTGGAGAGATTCGGTTCAGATATAGCTATAGCTCCCCTATATATTTGTTTTATTTGATTTGGTGTTTAAGTCCTCGCATTCGTAATATGCACTCCAAAAAAGTGATATTTGGTACCAAATATCATTTACAGCCCATAAATACTTCTGCCAAATTGTATCAAGATCAGTTCAGATTTGGATATAGCTCCCATATATATCTTAAACCGATTTCGATTTAATTGTGCACCAAACAGCCAATATCAGTGCAAATTATCTGAATTTTTGCACATCCTACCGAATTCAGTCTAGAAGCAAGTACATCAAATTTGGTGAAAATATGTTCAGATATAGCTTTAGGTCCTATATATATGTTTCATTTGATTTGGTATTTAAGTACCTGACATTCGTAATAATCATATTTGGTACCAGATATCTTATAGAGCTCGGAAATAACTTTGCAGAATTTTATCGAGATCGGCTAAGATTTGAATATAGCTCCCATATGCATCCTTAATCCGCTTTCGGGTTTATTGTGCAAATAATGGCGGGACGTACGTTTTCATTTGGTGGAAACCGGCTCCTACATATACAAGATGAGATAAAAAAACTGCAATAAAGTCAAACGCCATAATTTTTACATTTTTTTTTAAATTTTATTAAATAAGAGCAAAAATTTCGGAAATAGCATTAAATTTTAGAATAACCTTTGCCACGAATTATGGCCTTCAAACGGCCAATGAAGTGGAATTCGCTTTTGGTTTTTCATTAGGCACTTTTTCTCCGCGCCAAAAAATTCAATATAGGACCAGAATTTGCTATACCTCCATATACAAATTCCAACTTTTTTAATCGTTTGAAGCCACAATTTCCAACCAAATGAACTGAAACTTGACTTTTATAATGTGGTAAATTTTTATATAAGGAGATCTTTTTTAGAATTCTACAAGTTCTACAAGTTTGTTTGTCATTTTAAGATTTTCTCATTTTAAAAAACATTTCTACATAGTCTTGTCTATATGGTCCTATAGAAATGTCATTCATTATTTTTGATTTGTCTCATGTCCCAATACGAGTCTAATCCACATCATCACTGCAAACAGAACAAAATATAACATTGTTGTGACTTTATTACCATCATGAGATCTTCAAATACGATCTGTATGCAAATACTGTATTGTTTTTATGTTTATCAAACAATTCGAACTGTAACAAACGACAGATGTTTTTTTCTTTTTGGGTTTTGTGTTTGAAAACAAACCATTTGCGTTTGAGACATAAAATTTGAACATCTGTGTTTAATCTATTTTGTTGTTGTTTGAAATGACATGAAAGAGATATAGAAAATAATGAGTTTACAACAAGAAATGAGTTTCCAACAACAAGAGAAGAGTATGAGTGGCATAAACAAGCAAACGGTCGATACGATTTAGATATGTGAGGAAACAACTTCCAGAAGAGGTTGTAGAAGCGAAGTATGACTGTTAATAAAAAGTTAAAGGCATTTTCAACAAGAAAGAAAAGAAATAAATATGAAATAAATAAAAAAATAAATAAAAACCAACTAAAATAAAAAAAAAAAAAAATAAATAAAATAAAAAATATTGGGACTAAAAGCTTATCAAAAAAGTCTGAGATATTTAGTGAATATTTTTGGAAGTACATATTAGAAATACAAGAAACTCTATTTGTACAAAGTCATAGAACATTGTCGGTGATCTACCGACGTGAGCTAGAATTTGGAAATTTTTACATGAAGGTTACAAAAAGTAATAAAATGTGCAAATTATGTTACCCAGCGATCGGGAAAAGCTAGAACTTTTAAATTTTAGATTCTGAGTTTAAACAAGTTAAAATGCAGTTAATTTCGGCTGATCCAAAATTTGTATAACATTTGGAAGGAACTTTGAAAATTTCAAACAATTCTGTTGAAAAAATTCCTCTAAAATGATCAAAATATCGAATATACTATTTTATATGAAGTTCAGATAGAGTTTTTTCGAACGGATCCAGATGTAGCCAATTAAAACTATATGAAAGAGTTTAAAGTTCAATGTCTGAAGTATGCGAATTTCCACGTTAAATTGATGGTCGATCTAGATTATCAGGTCAAAAAAAAAAAAAAAAAAAACGCTTTACAAATAATCTTAGCCAACCATAAAATTAAGGTATTTGTACTTCTTTGGGTAGTCCCATATATTCGAAACTCCTGATTGTCTTACGTTTTTACCCTACAACACTATGTGTTTGGGGTATTATATGTTTAATTGGGCCAAAAATTATGTAACACCTCGAAGTGTTGGTCCCCGACATAGGAAACTATAATTGGATATTCATATCTCGCCGAGCTGAGTCGATCTAGCTATGTACGTCCGTCCATCAGCCCATGATAATTTGTAATTACACTACAGGTTGCAATTATGGAACGATTCTCACGAAATCGAAAATGGAGGTGGGGTTAGGGTCAGAATTGAAGCATATTGTTTTTGGAGATGATAGCAAACTATTTAGGGGTTAAAATGGACCAAAAACAGGAAAAATTCCTGCTTTTGCTGTTGATCTACAGGTAACAGATGTAGACCAAACGACGTGAAATTTAGCATGGGGCTAGATTAGGGCTGAGCAAAAGTATACCAATTTGGACAGTTGTCGGACAATATTTAGCGGGTGAAGCAGACGATAACTTTTATGTAAAAAACACAAATTTTCACCAAACAGTGAATATTTTTATCCCAGCGAAATCACAAAAAAGGGACACTTCTGACTATTGCAGTGATGCTGATAACCAATATATCGGATAATTGCAAAATAGTTACAATCTGAATGTAAAAGGAATTTATGTTAGTTATTCCGCTTATGAGTCATGAACCGCTGAACTGATTTTCAGAATACTCATCAATTTGGAATGGTCTCTTGCCAGAAAAGGATAAAATCTAAGAAAATCGCGGAAAAATAAGCCGATAAAAAAGTGAATATTTTTTGTTAATTTTTTTTTTCAATGTTTTGTCATATTTTTTTTATAGCATGCGATTTTTGCAATTTGACTTACAATTTTTAATTGTCAAATTTCTAAAGTTTTTCTACACCTCGCAACACAATGTTTTGAGGGTATTATATACAGATCGCAATTATGGTCCGATTTTGCATGGGGATAGGGTTAGGTTCAGCATTAAAACCCATTGTCTTTGAAGATTTAGGGGTTCAAATGGACCAAAAAAATTAAAAATTTCCTGATTTTGCTCTCGCTCTACAGTGATTGATTTTCACAATAGAAAACCAATCGACACAGAATTTTGCATGAGAAAAGAGCTAAGTACAGGGAAGGAGTCTAGCATTTTGGATGACCATCGGATCATATTTTGTTTTGTTTTGAATACACGACGGAGTGCGTAAATATTGGGCAAATGCCCCTGGTCAAAAAAAAAAAAAAAAAAAAACTAAGGGTAACATCTGGGCAGGGCTTTATGACATTATTTTAAAAAGGAAATCTCCAAAATGGATTTGGAAGTAAGGGGACTTCCAACATATAATAGTGTTGAAGGGTATCACATGGTGGCCTCGCCCTTACTTGTTTGTTGCTATACCCTGGAAAACAAAAGGGTATTAAAAGTTTGATTGGCCCATCAATGGTATTTGTCTCCGTCCGTCTGTTAATCTAAAAAAATTAAAGGAATAGGTTCACAATAGAAGAATATTTTATACCGAAAATTTTGCACCTCTAAAGTTAGCAATTATATGAGAATCAGACAATAATTGTAAACAAAATTAAGTTCTACAATAGATTGTAGCCAAACACTGATCACAGAGCTGAAATCTAGTTTCAACCCATGCTGAATGATATTAAACACAATGCAATTAAGCATTTCTAAAGAAAAACTTAAAACTTCCGTTTTTAATATTCCAGCCATTGTGGGACAACTAATGTTCTTTAAGAAGGAAATAAATGCTTCCACAAAATGCAGAAAAATAATAATCCGCTTAACATAGAAATATGTCCTCCAAATGTTATGTTTAATTTGCAAATTTACTTTATTTACAACTGACCGAGAGAGAGAGGGAGGGAGAGAAACGTGGAGAAAATCAAAAGACTTAAGACACAAACCTTATGTTCATTTATCACAAAAATATTCACTTCATTGGCACAGCTGCAGATTTAATAGAAAAATAATACATCATCAAGAAATAAACACGTGAGAAAATTGAAAATCAAGCCACAACAACAACAATAATTTTAAAATATTTATTTAAAGCTCCTTATGGGCATGGGGAATCTTAAATTGACTGGAAATTAATTGTATGTATGTGATGGCTATGAGATAAAAGTTAATAGAAAATTGAATGAACTTTGGGGATAAAGAGAGGGAGAGTGACAGAGAGCAAGAGAAAAGTGTTGAAAATTTGCAATTTGATGGAGATGATGGAGTAAAATCAACAAACAAATATTTGAATGCTCTCCAAAAAATAGCAACGTAAACAAACACCACCACCACCACCACAACAACATCTATAAAAACCCCATTTGTATTCAACATATATATTTATGTATGTGTGTGTTTCTTTTGCATTTGACAGATCTTTAGCTAACAACAAACAAACATATGGACTTTTGTGAAGTGTATTGTGATTATTCTCATAAACAACGAAAGAAAATAAATCTTCATTATTGTATGAAAAATCACGAATTCATCAACTGGTTACAGAGGTAAACCACAGAAAATAAAATAAAAAAATAAAAAAAAAATTAACCAAACAACAAAAAAAGAGAAGAAAAAACAACACAACCTAAAGAAAAACTGCGGGTTGTTGAAGTTTAAAATATATAAACCCAGGGCAACTGTAAACTTACTTGTCTACCAACGAAGCCAGTAATTGCATGTACCACAAACACAGCTCTATCAAACATCCAGCCAGCAGCGGATAAACACAGCTGTTATTGCAGCAGCAGCGGAGGCAACAGCAGCCATCGCTTACATAGTTCAACAACATTTGACGTGTTGCCGCGCAATATGTAGTACGTCGTCATTTGGCGCATTCAACTGAATTTACATAATTTAAAAAAAAGGAAAATAAAAACAACAATCGCCATCAACGAATATCAGCAGCAAATATTGAGGGAAGAGGAAAAATTTCACTCGATACTTTTTAATCAAAAATTTCGAATATTGAATACATTCACTGTAATCATATCATAATAACAATAGATAACGGCTCTGGGGCCCTTATGAATATGTTATTAACCCTCATATTGGCAACACTGGCACATGGTAAAAGAAAAATGTCACAAATGGTGAATAACCTTGAAATGAAGGGCAGCGAAAGAGTTGGAGGTGTATGGCTGTGGATGCTGTTGCTGATGGTCACATTGCGTGCCACAACGTGTCAAGGTAACTATTTTTCATTTTATTATTATTTATTTATTTATTTATTTTTTTTTTTTTTGAATTAAATAAGATGAAACAAACCATCTTTTCTTCAACGAAATCGGCTAAATGTTAGCGACGTTTAATTAATAATTTCTAATTTTTGTTTACATTGCTGAAATTCCTTTTTACAGATACAGGATATTTTTTATTGAGGAAATTTTAAAGACATGTAATTCTATTTTTAAAGCCCACAACACTATGTGTGGGGGTTATTATCAATTTGTTTCGATGATAAGAAAACAAACAAGTAAAAAAGCAGTAAGTACCCTCCACCATTTAGAAAGAATTTGAAATTTTTCGAAAAAGATAACATTAACATTTTAAAGATACCGAATATAGCCGTTATATTTGGGCCTGTACGACGTGCACCTACATAGGCATTGTTTGCCACAAGCCATTACCATATTCAAATTCGAAGCTTGAAATAAACGGTGAATAATGTAGCCAAAATCATCAAAATACCGTACATAGGGAGGTATCGTTAATTAGGAGCTATACGAAGACCTGGACCTGCATAGACAATTTTCTGTCACGGGCTGTAGTTTCCATTACGAACTTCAAGTATGACATCTCAAACAATTTCGTTGAGTATTGTACCTAAAATCGTCAAAATACCGAATATCGGGAGGTACTGATATATGGGGCCTATACGAAGACCTGGACCTGCAATGGCAATTTTCTGTCACAGACTGTAGTTCCCACTACGAACTCTAAATACGTAATTTGAAACTACTACGGTGAATAATGACGCTAAAATCATCAAAATACCGAATATTGGGAGGTACCGTTATATGGGGGCAAGACGTGGACCTGCATAGACAATTATCTGCCTTAGGCTATACTATCTATTTCGAACTTCAGACACCAAATTTGAAACAATTCCGGTGAATAATGTGGCTAAAATCATAAAAATACCGAATATAGGGGGGTACTGTTATATGGGGGCTATACGAAGACGTGGACTTGCACAGACAATTTTCTGTCTCAGGATGTAGTATCCATTTGAAACTTTAAACGCCAAACTTGAAGCAATTCCGGTGAACTTTTGATCCCCGGCATAGGAAACTATATTTGGATCTTCCTATCTCGACGAGCTGAGTCGATCTAGCTACGTATGTCCGTCTGTCCTTGTTATTTCCAATAAACAGCGAATATTTTTATTCCCGGCGAAATCATAAATACATTAAAATGTCATTTCTAACCGTTACATAGCGGGTACATAGAAAAATAGGTACAATCTATGTGTACAAGAAATTGGTGTAAGTTATTCCGCTTATAAGTCAAGAACGACTGATTGTGACAATTCTTACCAATTCGGAATTACCTCTTGCCAGAAAAAGATAAAATCTAAGAATATCACCCAAAAATATGGCAATAAAAAACTGAATATTTTTTGTAATTTTTTTTTCATATTTGACTGACAATTTTCAATTTCAACACTATGTTGTGGGGGTATTATATTCAGCTCGCAGTTATCGTCCGATTCTTGTGAAATTTCGCAAGCAGGTAGGTTGAAGGTCTGAAAAAAGCCAATTGTTTTAACGATGTATATTTAGGGGTCCACATGGACCATTAACATTTTCCTGATTTGGCAGTCGCTCTACGGGTCACAATTAAAAACCAATCGACGCAGAATTTTGCATGAACAACAATACGAACACGGCAGAAGTCTTGCATTTTGGAAATTGATTTTTTATGTGAAATTGCCTTGAATACCAATCTGCATGTCAGATATAGGGCAAAACAGGAGATAACATTTGTGCAGGACTATATAGCATTATGAAAAAATCGAATGAAATGGGTTCGGAATTAAGGATGTTTTCTAATATACAGGGTGAGATAAAAAAATTGCAACAAAGTCAAACGCCATAATATTTACATTTTTTTCTTAAATTTTATTGAATGAAAGCAAAAATGTCGGAAATAGCATACAATTTTAGAATAGATTTAGATTTGTTCGAATTGGTCATCTTTGGCACGAATTATGGCCTTCAAACGGCCCATGAAACCGACACACGCTGCCCGAATGTTGCTCTGCGGTATTTTGGCCCATTCCCGGTAAAGCGCTAGTTTGAGGTGATCGACACTTTGGTAATTTTTAGTGCCAACCTTGCTCTCCAAAATACTCCAGACGCAATAGTTCAACGGATTGGTATCCGGAGATTTTGGTGGCCATTGAGCGCTGGAAATGAAGCGAAGAACCCCATTTTGTAACCATCTTGGTGGCGCGTGCTGAGTGCGATGGTGCTGAGTTCTGTTGGAATATCCAAGGTCTGCGGCCAAAATGTTTGCGTATCCAAGGCTTTAATACACCCTCCAGAATATTTTCGCGATAATATTCGGAATTTATTATGATGTCTTGGTCGATTAATACGAACGGAGAGAGACCATCGGCTGTTGTGGCGGCCCACACCATCACCATAGCCGGAGCTTGAGTTTTGGTGGCCAACCGAAGGTGCACATTTTCAGCTGACCTCTTTGGCAAGTAAAAACGATCATTTTGTTTGTTTACAAACTGCTGGACAACGAATGTTTTCTCATCGGAGACAGAGAAAACCAAATTCGCCAGTTCACCAATTTCGGCCAAGCGAAACAACTCTGTAGCTCTCTTGAGTCTATTTTCTTTCTGTTGCGGTGTAAGTTCTTGCACTTTTTGGAATTTCAATGGCTTTATACCGAGCTCATTCTTCAATATATGCCGAATTGGATATTGCGACATGTTCAGCTCACGAGTCATTTTTTGGCCACTGCCACGCGGGTTTCGATCAAGTCGCTTCTTTACTTTTCCAACCCATTCTGCTGATGTTGCTGTTCACTTCTTTGACGTCAGGCTACGCTACCAATATCACGGTAATGAACGATGGTACGAGACACAAAAGATTTATTCACATTTAAATGCCGGAGTGCTCCAACGATAGCCACTTGTGGTTTTCCAGCCAAATATAAAGTGATAGTGTGATCACGTTTGAATTTCATCACGAATAACTTTTTTTCTGGAAAATTCTCACCAAAATGCTTTTGTACGCCTGTAAACAATATAATGATCTGTCACTGGAATTTTAACAGCTGTCGGACGAGTGGCTTAGAAATGACAGCAGCCTAAAGTTGGTTGCACTTTTTTCATCTCACCCTGTATGAGAAGAATATCCTCCTGTGAATCGATTTCTACTAAATTTCCCGAGGCATTTGTGCCTTTTTAATTCGGGTTTCTATTTCCCATTTACTGCACAATTAACTTGAAGTCGGATAAAGATATATATGAGAGCTATATCCAAATCTCGATTTCGGTAAAATTTGGCAAAGATATTTCTGAGCTGTATTTTATATATTTCTCTGAATATCGCAAGCAAACAAATATAACAAATCGGATGAACAATATATATGGGAGCTATAGCTATATCTGAACCGATCTTCAAATTTGGCTTACTAGTTTCTAGACTCAATTCGGTCGTAAGTGCCAAATTTCATCCCATTTGGGCAAATATTAGACATTTGGTGCACAATAAACGGTAAATCGGACGAAGTTATACATGGGAGATATATCCAAATCCGAACCGATCTCGATAAAATTTAGCAAAGGTATTTCTGAGCTGTATTTGATATATTTCTCCAAATATTGTTGTTACAGAGTGCTGCGGAGGACAAATTCAACAAATCAGATTAACAATATATATGGGAGCTATAGCTATATCTAAACCGATTTCAATCAAATTTTGCTTGCCTGTATTCAGGCCTAATCTAGTGCAAAATTTTATACAATTTGGGCTGACATTTCACGTTTGGTGCACAATATAAGGCAAATCGGAAGAAGATATTTATGGGAGCTATATCTAAATTTTGACCGATTATCCAAAATTTCATCTGGATCGGGAAAAAATGCGACCTATACCTTGTTTACAAAAATACATGGACAGACGGACGGACTCAGAATGTGATTCTATGCAGATCATCAAAAGGAACTATGGGTCTATCCCGTTTCCTCATGCCTGTTACAAACAAATGCACAAAGACATAATGACCACCTTGCGATGTAGGTTATAAATATAAATAAAGAAAAATGAAAAAGGTGAATAATTGTAATATACCAGGCTTAAGTTCTCAATTTGTACAATGAATAGCATTGATCCATTTCGATAACGGAGCGAACAGGGAAATATCAACATTTTGAAAAATACTAAATCACATAAAATGTGAATTTGGTGTCCTATTATTGTCAAACTTCGTAAACCTCTTACAAAAAATGTGATATATTGGTCCAACCTTTTGATTCCTCTTGAAAACAATCTCCTTCTTAAAGGATATATAAAATATAATCGGTTGCCCGGACTGATATTTTTTGTAAATTGTTTAAAAAATTAATTAAGACAAAAAAAAAAAAAAAAACATTTTAAAACTCCCCCACAAAATTTCTCCACACTGCATTATTTTTAAAACCATTAAAGAAGTATTTTTTGAAAATTATCATTTCATTTTCGTTTACTTTCAAAAATCGAGTCAATAAGTGTTTTAAAAGTATTCCACTTAATTTTTGCCAAACGTCTCGAAATTGAAAAGTAACACAACTTTAATGGTATATTAATTTACCAATTATAGGCAAAGCGTTCAACAATTTCGCTTTCATTATTTTGCGATACTTGTTTACTCCCCCTCCACTTATCGGCAATCTTCACACGTCACTGGGTGTAGGTTGTTGGTTGGTTTTCTTGTTTACATTGATTTTCGCATGTTCAGCAACAAAACAATTGGTTGCCAAAAAAAAAAAAAAAAAAAAAAAAAAATACATAATCTAGAAAAACACATTAAAGTATATCAGAATCAAACGGAAGTATTAACTCGTTTCACAATATCGGCTATTACTTCAGCCAACAACGAAAAAACCGCCGTAAAAAAGTTAATAAAATGAATTATAAAAACAGAAATATCTGTGATTGCCACCCTCTAATAAAAACGAGAATTGATTA